TATGTATATATATGTAACCGCGAGATACTCGTGAGTCGCAATGGTGTTTATTGTGGCTGAAAAGAGCTGACAGTGTGAAATATATATAATAACGGTGATTTGACTGAGGAAGAAATGTCTCTGCATTGTACTTAGTATTTACGGTTTTGGCATATGAAATAATCTGTGCACGACTTTTTTGAATTTGCTTTTTCAGAACACACTGTTTGACATTACGATGTCAATCCGATTGGTAAATTATTAGATTTTTACTAAATAATCTTCTGAATCTTTTCAACAAACCATGTAAACAACATATTTTGTTAATGGTAGATCATTTTGACTAATAAAGTACTGCTCTCGATTGCAGTCGTGGACGAAATTCAAATATTTAGCTTTTTTTGCTCTTTGATTGTGTAGTATACAAAGTAATTGTTTCGTTGGATACATTAGTAAGTAATTTCACTCTCTGCAAGCAACCTTAGTTAGATTTTTACTCGAAATCTTAGATCCCGTTCCTCTGCTGCTTGATGCACCATTTTTTCTTGACGTTATGACTGCATTTTGACTAATAACGGAACAAGTTAAATTTGGTCTGCAGACAGTTAGCGTGCTAGAAACTTTGAGTTTTAGTCATTTTGTTAAGTTCTTTCAAAGTTGGCTCAAACTGGATGAGAACCAAGTTTTTTTTGCATCTGGGATGTACAGGTATTTTTATATTATGTAGTAGTAAAATGTTGTGGAAATATACTTGGCATCCTGTGAAAGTAGTGACAATAATCGTTAAAAAGACAATATTTGGTAATTGGGGATCACCTCATTTTTTTTTCTTCCGTTGCAAAGGGTGAGTTTTTGCAAAAGAGGATTTTCAGTTTAGGAATTGCCGTTTTAAGCTTTGTTAATTTTTAGTTCTTTGGTAAAAAAACAATAAAGAGAAGCATTAGCCAGTTTGAGCAAAAAATAGTTGTGAAAAATTTTTTGCTACAGCTCTTCCCATCAATCCAGTACATGAAAATTAGTTAGAAGAATTTGATATAATCTGACAATTGACAACATTCACACAAATATTAGGTGTTATTTGTTCGACCATTCAAGAACATTTTCGTTTTTTACCTTAGATTTGTTCTTGGTGAGAGTAATCAGCGTATTATTTCATTATCTTATCCCGTAGCATGGGTTTTCTTTCAAGAAAGTTTTGAAATTTTTTTTATCAATTTTAGATTACTGTTAGGTTCTATCGCGCATGCATTTCAAAGTGATTTCTTGCTCTTCTTTTTGCAACTCTTTTTCTCTGGGGTTTAAAGATAGCAGTAGATTAAATGCATTTTTCGGGTTATAAGGTATGTTAAACATTTGTTTTTTTTTTTCTAAAAGTGATTTTACGGATTGGTCGCATTTTGAGCTTGGTTTTAAGATGGAGTAGTAAAGACGACTTTTTATTCTCATTTGGAGTGCATTGTTGTATTTCTGAGACCATCGTAGAGTGTTGTCTTTGGCACAGTGTTTCTACTGTATAACAATAATTTCTCATTTAATGAGGAAGAAGCAGTTCACCATCGAATATTGTTGGGTAGATGATCCACGTGCTAAGCGCACTTCCTTTGATTACTTCATTCAAAATTTGTGTTTTCAAATTGGCATAATGAATGTATTTGAATTTTTGAGATTTATATTCGGTTCGGTCAGCTTGAGCAAAATTTAGCATCACTGTGGCTGTCTTTTCAGGTTTTCCGTTCGCTTTGTATTTGAATTGCCAGAGAAAAACATTAATTCTGGTTTAACAGGGGGCTTTTGGAGTTGGCCATTTAGATTTTTCTTATTTTTCTTTTGATTATTTTTACTCTTGCACCAGGATAAATCGAATGAACTTTTGTATTTCAGAATTTTGGTGAAGAAAAACACCGGTAAGAAGAAAGATGAAGAAGATGCATCTCAGTCATTTACGTATATTTCTTCGTTTACAGCGCAGTTACAGGAGCTGGATAGCATTGCAAAGCAACACGAAGTATGTTATCAGTTGATCATAATGTCGCTGCTTGAATTACATTCTATATTTGGGCTCTCCTTCTTGCTTAAATTTTCGGCTGTAGATATATGGAAACTGCGGTGTAGGATAGGTTACACATACGTATTAAAAGTGGCCTTAGATTAACTCAGTGTTGCTCGTTTAATACTGCAGCCCCAGCTTTACCTAAAATATCTATATGAGTAGTTTTAAAATGTCGGTAGGATGTTGAAGAGATGAGAAGAGCGATATCTTCAGGCAATAGCAGAGCAATTACGGCAACAAATTCAACCTTCTATTCTGCACAAATGTGCATCCCTTCGCGCGAAACGTAAGAATCAACTCAACGAACTGCACAATTTGAACAGTTCGCTGAATGCTGTCATAGAAACAATGAATAAAGCCCAGAAATGTTATAAGTACTGTTACTTTTTTTCATTGATGCTGTTAAAGTGATTGCTATTTCTTCTTCTCCTTTTCAAGTATAGTCAGAGTTTTGCCTTTTTTTGAATATAATTTAGTTTAAAGATTTTTCTGTGATACTTTTTAGTAAAGCATTCAAAGATGCCGAAGTGGCATATATCAAATATGATAAGGCTGAAAAGAATATGGATCTATCAAGAGCCGATTTAGAGAGAGCCAAAAGCAATGCGAATCAGAGAAATCAACAGTGTGAAGAAGCTAAAAAAAATTATGCTCATGCATTAGAGGCTGCTAACAGTCATCTCTCTACTCACTACAGTAACATGCTTCCGGCAGCACTTGAGGTTGTTCAGAAATTTTGTTTGTTTTATGAAGTTTTTGCTTCTTTCTAATATTCTGGATTTTCACATTTGAGCTTCTTATAACGTGTGAAGAAGCTAAAAAAATTATTTTCATGCATTAGAGACTGCTAACAGTAACAGAGAAAAAGTTTCTTATAATAGCACTTTGTCTTGACTGCCGATGATAACCGTTTTTTATTCTTTTGTACTATCATGTTAAATTTATGCACTTTTCTCAAAGCTTTTGTTTTTGTTGAATAAAATAGTAGTTCTTTTTAGCAGTTGCGGCTAGTCGATGAGGAAAGGATAATCGAAACCCACAAATTTATGATCCAGAGTATAGAATCAGAAGTGAAAGTTATGGCAATAATGCAGCGATGTTATGAGGACATGACGAATGCTGCAAATCAAATTTCTTCTAATACTGATTCTGCCGCAGTTGTGGAACAGTTCCGGTGAAGAATCTTTTAATTTTTTTTGGTTTCCTGAATTTTTAATGTTTTTTGAGATTTACCGCTCACTATCTTTTCAGAACGGGTTATGGTCATCCGGAGGCTTTTACCTTTGAAGATCTTGGTTCTCCAGCAGCAAAATTGTCTGGTGAAGGAACCAGCACAATTGATACTTTGAAAAGGCCAAGGAGAGATGGAACTGCTACTCGTGTACATAGAAAAGCAAGCGGTTTATTCAGGGGAACTGGAAAGAAGGTTTGTTTATTTAGTTTCTACTTAGAAGCTTGTCTGAGGTTCTATTATGTGACTATTATCATTTTACCTTGAATCGTCATTCTCACCATTGTTTCCTTGTCAAAAAAAAATCTTGATTTTTTTGGTCACTTCTTCGTGTTCTTTCACAGGAAAAACACTTAGCAATTTCCTTTTTTTAAATCAGTTTTGTTAACTTTGTAGGACGGAACGATTGAATCTTTACCTCCTCAACAGCGTTGTAGAAGATTAGTAAAGGAGATGGAGAAAATACAGAAGGATATAGAAAAGAGCGAACAGAGCTGTGATGCTCTCCGGAAAATGTTTCAAGTTTATACGTTAGTTTTGGTCGTTTCTCTCTTTTTTTTTTTCTAGCATTGTAAGTAAGGAGGAGGTTATATTTTGAGATTGTCTAGTGTCTCAGATTGTTTAATTGTTGTAGCCAAATTCCTTGTTAAAAAGAATTTTTTTGACAAGATACTTTCATATCATCTCTGAAACTCTAGAAGTAAAACTCCAAGCCAACTTCTGTAGTAACCAGATTCCTAATAACTTGTTGAGTATTTTATTATTTACGAATTTTAACTGGTCCGATGAGCATACCTGAAAAAAACACGGTAAAAAGTTTTTTTTTTTTTTTTGGAAAACGATTTTTATTTATTTATTCAAATGATAAAGGTTATTGTTTAGTCTCCATTGGGCATGAATGACTAAAAACTAAGAAATTCTACGTTGAGTTAAAAATCTGTAGTTTTGCAATGGTCAAAAAGCGCGAAATTGGAGAAATGGATACTGCATTGAGAGCGCGGTATAATGTGTATTTACGTAGGAAACTTTGGGCATAGGCTAGTCATGTATTTATATTTTTCGTATAGGAGGATAAAACAAATTAGCTCCTCTACCAGATACTAGAACTATAGTTAATTCGATGGATTGTTTATTTACGTATTCTAATTTAGGGACAATCCGAAACTGGGAAATGCGAAAGCTGTTGAGGCAGAAATAGCTGTGCATAAGAAGAAAATTGATTCCTTGATGCCTCAGTTGACCAAATATAAGGTTGTTTTTTTGATATTTTTAAAGTTTGTTTGGTTTTGGAACGTATTGACGGTATATTCACTTTGAGTGTTTTTGTCACCAAAGAATATTTTTTATGTCGCTGAAGGATTCAAAGACTTACTTTTTGTAATCTTAAATTTGTGATGGGTTAACTTTGTTCTTTTCAAAGTTAGTAATACCAATTGTTTTAGTGGCTTTTTTAAAAATTGTATTATTTACAGTTTTGCACGTTTTTATGAGTTAAGGGAGCTTTACCGAATGCTTTTTAGCGATTTTTTTCTTTTTCCATTTATGACTTATTTTATCTTATTTTCAGGAAATGCTATCTGCCGCTCAGACAGAGTTAAATGTACCTATTTCTGCGTTGAAGTAGGCTTCTTTTTCTTCCCATAAATAATTTCAAAGCGCCTGTGAATAAATCACTTTTTAGTTTTATTTCTATTTTGACATATCGTTTTTCAACTTTAGGCTTATTAAGTTTGACTTTTCGTGAGATATGGTTGAGTTTTTGTTTTTAAATCACTTGAACTTTCTAATTTAAAACTGGAAAGGAACTAGTCTTCAAAAGTACAAATTTATAGGCAAAAAATAAAGTTCTTAGTGGGGTTGTTTTTCAGCTCTGGAACTCCTCGATCAGTTGCTCGCCCGTCTTCTGGAAGGAGTACTCCATCACAAGTTTCACCTGGTCATAGTGGAACGATATCTCGCCTTTCCAGTGCCAATGTTCAAAGAGGATCTTATTCTGGTGAATCTGCTTCGTCTTCCGGTTCTTTTGGTATTTCTCCCTCCCCGAATCATTTGGTCGAAGCTCAGCACTTGGAAAAAACGCCAGTTTCGACCGGTAAGTTTCCTGTCTGGAAACACCCTTATGGAAGAAGTAAATGAACCTGTTTTAAGGTGCCCCACTAGCAGAAAAGGCTGAGGTTTATGAGGAGGAGGTTGATGAGTTGCCGGTCTTAGGGATGTGCAGAGCTTTGTACGCGTTTGAGGGTGGTAGCGAGGGCACAATGCCTATGATAGAGGGCGACGAGATGGCTTTAATTGAGAGAGATGAAGGAGATGGCTGGACACGTGTAAGGAACTTAGCTACCGGAAAGGAAGGATTTGTTCCTACAACCTATTTAGAATGTAGGTGGTATCCTGAAAAATGACTTCTCTTTATCATAATAAGGAAATCTGCGCTCAATGCTTTTTACGTCTAACAGTTGATATCATTAAATGAACAAATTGATTTTTATTGTTACACTGAATGATGTGCTAGTACTTCTCTAACCGGGTACGCAGTAGCTATCTGTTGTTTTGGTTTTGTTTTTTTTTTTTTTTTTTTTTTTTTTTTT